TTATTAATATGACACTGAGTAAAAAGTGATACCATGCGTTTGCTTTTTCTACTATGGTCTCGAGATGAGTGAAGATGAAGGTAAACCAAGAAACTTACATCAGTGTGTGTGTTCAGTGGGCTTCATTTAAATAAGATTAGCATAAAGGCAAATTAAACACAGAGCTTTGGTTTGAACGGCTGTAAATATGCAAATTTACACTTGTCCTGGAAGCCGAGTGCAAATACAATACCACTCTAACGATCATTTACATTAGAGATGACAGGAATAAAGATGAAGCCATGATGAAGTCAAGATTAACACGGGTTTATGTATCAGACCAAAAACTTTGGCCCAGGAAAAAAAAATTACATATAATACATACATATATATATATATACACTTTTGTTTTTTCTGTGCAAAAGGCAAATGTGTGTGTGTGTGTGTGTGTGTGTGTGTGTGTGTGTTCATATATATGGGTCGTTCTCCATTCGTATATATGCAAAAAGGAGAGCTTCATTCCAAACATACTTTAGTCACTGGTGTTGTATGAATATGGTGTAACTCCAGTGACTGTGACTCCAGTGACATTCTGGTTAAGGATTTTGTAAATTGTTGATCAGGTGACCTTTTATGACCTTCAGTAGTAAAAGTGATATAAAATTTTAATTACCCAGCCATTAAGGCACATAACGCCAGTGACATATAGAAGTTATGAGCTGCCTGATCAACAAAATTATTAATAAATTAACAAAATACAGTGAGCAAGTGTGGACTCGCCTTCTCATGCCTCGAGATGCTTCCTCTCTGATGAGCCTCGACCCAAAGAAGCAGTTTAATAGAGCTAAAAAATACTGTGTTAAAATGTAACATAAGAGTCCTGATAACACCAGTGACCAAAATCTCTGTGACAAACGAATTTTTATAATAAAATACATTTTTTAATAAAATACGTTAATAAAATACATTTTTTAATAAAATACATATAAAATACATGATTTTTACAATGTAATATCACATTAATGATATAAAAAGTAAACAAATCTATACAATTATACAATTTATACAATTTCTTAAGTTAAATATTTTAAAAATATTGTTTTATTTTAAAAAATGGTTTCTTAAATGTTATATATTGTTTTGTGATAAGCTGTTTCACGCATGCAGAGCAACTATGAAACAAGATCAAAAAAAAGAAAAATGAGAGAAATCATAAAGATTTTATTTAATCTTATGTCAACTGTGTAAATGTCTTTTAGACATTCTTTTGGAGCTGTGCCTAATATTTTAAGCATCTTTTTAAGCCCTGCCACCTTTGTGACATGGTTTTCCCTCCAAGTGGAGAATGAGACACATATATATTCACAAATAAAATGTAGTTTTAGTATATATTATTTTAGTTGAGTGACTGATCAGTAATCTCCTTTCTTCTACATGTTTATTCATTCTGATATGAGCATAGCGCTGTTTCTTTTGTGATTAATTAAATAAGCGATTGATGTCAAAGGGGCAGTTAAGCTCTTTAATTTACTAACAGTGTGGAAGTTTATTCAGCTGTCTGAAGGAAACCAATCATACTTTCACTCTTTTTAATTCATGCTTTGTTTAACACTTAGAGGTCGAGTTATTACTTAATTACATAAAAATTTGCACAGTTACACAATTATGTTTGATTTACATTCTATATGTATTCAAATCTATGTTTTTATGTTGCTATGTTTTTACGATGCTAAAAATGTGGCAAAAATGTCAAGGTGTGCATTTAAAAGCCTACACAAATCAGTAACTTGTCATTATATGCAAATATTCTACTCTTCCACTCAAACACAAACATCCTAAGGACTGAAAGTTTACAAGCTACAATTTCCACACCATTACACTCCATTTGTTCCAGCACGATTTTATTAGTAATGTTTTCTGATTGTTGAGTGATGTATAGTAGAATTTGTATGACTAAACTAAGTAAAGATAAATGTATGTGCTTTGCTGTGCAGATGGTCTCTAACTAACAGACAGCTTTGTAATAAGCAGCTTCAGAGTGGAGTAAAGGAAATCAAACTTTCCTCTTTCTTGTCCATCCACTCTCTCACCAACTAACTGAACAAAAAGGCGAAAAAAACAAAGAAGAGATCAAAAATCCAGCTACATTTCAGCACTAATGACGGTGTAACTCTGTGTTCACACCGGCAGCGACTTTTCTCCTGTCACCTAAATCGCTGGTCGCTCATTGCCTGTGGGCATTTCTGAACCCCAGCTGACCGTTGGTTGCCATGGTTTCACTGACGCCAAGCACAAATCAGGTACCCACTACAAATAAAAACTCTGGTGAGAAATCGCTTGTGTGCTTATTTTTATGTAATAAAGTATAAAAGCTGCAGGTGACCATTCAACTCATTATCACTAGTGGACACTTCAGAGTCTTCACACACGTTTGATACACTCCTAGCAAATAGGGTCCTATATACACTGTGAATTTACCTTTATGCTACATACAACAGGAAACAAGATCTCAGATGTGGCCCAAATGCAGTGATTTTAAAACAATCGTAAAATGTTTCTCTCTTTGTGTGCCTACTATTGAGCTCTAAGACTTGCATTACACCTTCAATCTGCATTTCTCTCTCTCTCTCTCTCTCTCTCTCTCTCTCTCTCTCCAGGCACAATAATGGCTGCTCTCCTGTTTTTTCAGCAGAAAGCAATTTGCTACAGAAATTAAGCTGGCCTGGAAGCTGGAAGCCAGAGAGGGAGTGAGAGAGAAAGAGAGAGAGAGAGAGATGCTAAACGCCTGGCGCAAACAAAACACTACCCTACATAATACTCAAACACACCAAACCAGACCACAGCAAAAACAAACAAGACCAAACAAACACAGAGCAGAGCGCTGCACTGCTTTCTGCAGAAGAACACTGACAATGGAGTGATGCAGCGCCAACCTGAACGTCAGTACCTGACCTCACTAAAGCTCTTGTGGCTGAATGCAATCAAATGGCAATGATTCAACATCTAGTGCAAAGCCTTGCTAGAAAATTAAAGGCTGTTAGTGCAGTGAAGGAGGAATAAACTCTGTATTAATTCCCTCGACTTCAAAAGAAACCTGGACGAGCAGGAGTCTGCAAACTTTTGGACACGTAGTGTATGGACCGTACTGCAGCGTATTGTATCATGCAGCATTAACATATTAAGATAGGGCTCATTTTCAGCCACTCCTTATTTTTGCTGTACCTAAAAATCAAACCAAAGTATCAAACCGGATGATGAATTGTGTGAACTGTTGTGCCTCTAATGACTACACTGATAGAAAAAACACTGCCCCATTCCTTCACTGTCTCATCCCTCCTCTCTCTCCTCTTGCGGTCTGCTGCTGTGTCCAGTGCACAGGTGGTCAGTGACACACACACACACACAGTAGAAAGACGCTAGACAGGCAACTAAGACACACACACACACACACATTGGCGTTGTTTTGACTTGAAATTATTAACCCCCTCACAGCTGTCGAACACCCCCACACAGCAGAACAGCTGGTGAAAGGAGAGAGTGAGAGAGAGAGAAAGAAAAAAAAAAAGAATTGATATGTAAAAAGGGAGAGAACAAGAGAGGAAGACAAGAAACTGAGGAAGGAAGGACAAATAAAAACACCAAAGAAAGCAAAAAAGAGAACAAGAGAGGGAGAAATAGAAAAGGAAGAAAAAAGAAAGTGCTAAAAAGTTAAAGAAAAAGAAAGATGGAGAGAAGAAATAAGAAGAAAGAAAAAGGACCAGTAGACAGATATTTGAGAAAAGGCGAGGAAGGCAAGAAACAAAGAAAGGAAGAAAGAAAACAAAGAAAGAGCAAAAAGAACATGAGAGATAGAAAAGAAAGAAAAAAGAGTGATAAAAAGTTAGAGAGAAAGTGAGGGAGAAAAACAAGACGTAAGGAGAGAGAAAGGAAAGAAAGATGGAGATTTATAAGAAGGGGTAGAGAGGGAGAGAGAGGTTCTGTATGAAAGGCTATCCAGATCTTAGTGAAGATAAAAATCCAGCTGAAAGATGGAGGATATTTCTCTCTTATAAAATTTAAAGACCTGCTCATCAATTTCACTCCTGCCGTTCCCCAAGCGTGTCTTTCAGAAAAACGATCTGAAATGATGAGGTAGATCGGCCCTCTCCACATGAGCAGAGAGAAAGAGAGAGAGAGGGGAAGGACGACTAATAAAAATTTTATTCTCTGTGTGGAATGATGAGAGAGTCTGATGGAGGATGGCTAGGCTGGCAGACTGACCTTTTCAGACTTGATATATATTTAATCTCAGCCCCAGAAGCTCCGCCCACAGAGTTACACACACCACCTGATGTTTATCGCACACTGAGATAGCAAGATGATCACAGTTTACTATGTCCGCTCACTGGCCACTTTATTAGAAACACCTGCCTTGTACTTCCCCTCACTGGCCACTTTATTAGAAACACCTGCCTTGAACTTTCACTCACTGGCCACTTTATCAGGAACCCCTACCTTGTACTTCCACTCACTGGTCACTTTATTAGAAACACCTACCTTGTACTTCCACTCACTGGTCACTTTATTAGAAACAACTACCTTGTACTTCCCCTCACTGGCCACTTTATTAGAAACACCTACCTTGTACTTCCACTCACTGACAACTTTGTCAGAACCCCCTACATTGTACTTCCACTCACTGGCCACTTTATTAGAAACACCTACCTTGTACTTCCACTCACTGGCCACTTTATTAGAAACACCTACCTTGTACTTCCACTCACTGGCCACTTTATTAGAAACACTCGTTTTGCGCATCCATTCACTGGCCACTATAATAGAAACAACTATCTCTGCCAGTCCCCCTTTCACCACATACATCACTGAAAAGGCTCCAGCACTGATCACATTATTTGGTATGTATATGATAGGTGTTTCCAGTAAAATGGCCAAAGAGTGTATCTATTTATGCATATGTATGTCTGTGTATGCATGACAGAGAGACATAAAAAGAGAAAGAGAGATGAGGTGGCTGTACTCACTCTCTGCATGTGTGAGCAGCAGCAGTGTGGTCAGCAGTAGCAGGGTTGGTGGTGTGTGTGGCATCGTTTGGGACGACATGCTGCAGCACAAACCCACACACACACTCAGAGTGCTGGAGTCTCCTACAGACCAATCACAACCTGCAGAGAGAGAAAGTGAGAGAGAAAGAGAGAGAGAGGTAAGCACATGAATGAAAGACATTGGATGCATGCTTTTATATCTTTGCACATTGCTCCCACAGACAGAGAGAGCGAGCCTAGAGCATCTCTTTTTCTCCTTTTTAACAAGCAGAATAGTAGTTACAATCTAGAAGATATTTTTTTTTTTTATCAAATTTTCCTGTTGGAATGCGGCCTGTGCAAACGACTCCAACACTATTCATACTGTACTTTTTCCCTTCAATATGTTAAATTTCAGCAAACAAATTGAAAATCTGCACCAAAATCCACAAAATCAACAAACCGTGATCTAAATTTCAGCAAACAAATCGAAATTCTGCACCAAAATTCTTAAAACCAACAAACCGTGATCTGATGAGGGGTGTTCAAACTTTTGCATACAACTGTTAATATTAGGCAGCCAGAAAAAATGTTCAAAACGATTTTTTTGGGCAGTAAATGTGTTTTTTACCTGTAAAAAGCACTATATAACATTAGAATAATGGCCAATAAACATTAATACCTTATAAACTAACAGTCATCTGTTTTATGTAGGAAATAAAAATATATTTAGAAGAAAACAGCTTCAGCTCCTGCCTTTTTTTGCTGTATTTTAGCCATCAGATAGATTTGTTCAGTTCCATCAGCTTCTGATTTCATTCCATCTGACTGAATTTAATGAAAGGCTGATTAGATGAAGTAAGCATGGCTGTAACTAGCTATGAGGACACTGAGATCCGGACCTCTGTACCTTCAGAAGGGTTTTTTCACTTTTCTTTGTTTATGAGATTAAATGTAGAAACAGCACTCTTATTTTAATGTGGTAGTCTGCTCAGGGCCGCAGCCACGGCGTCACAGACCTGCTCAAATGGGGACAGAATATTTATTATGCCGCATTTTCATGATAATGAAATGTTATTTGTTTTCTGTGAGCGCTGTCACTGTATTATGGCCAATCAAAATCTGCCACACTCCATATTGTTTTCCTCAACCCTCCAATCACTGCTTAGCAACTGCTGCTATCAGCAATTACTTCAGTACGTTATCAGCGGCCGTAATGTTTGTAACTAACGTTAGGACACTGAGGTCCTCTGAAGTTTCGGAAGGGTTTTGTTAGATTCATTGTGGAAAAAAGCGACGTATCTACCCACTGAGCTGTGACTGGTTCTCAGCTGACCTCAGAACAGCTGTGGCTCGGTCAGAGACTTTACTGCCCGTTCTGTTTATCTCTGTATGAGACGCTACGCTGCCCTGACTTCTTAAGATGTTCAGGTATGCAGCACACATGCTATAGGCTGACATATAACATAACTATGGTCAAAATGGCTGTAAGTATTGTATACTAACTGTAAATACTGGATTTCCTTGAGAAGAAATCTGGAAATGGTTAAGCTAACACATTCAGATACTAAAAATATGAATGGACTGTTTTATTTGTACTGATTACAATGTGAGCATATTTTTCAACTTCTAAATGCTGCCTGTACCAGACCTTCTCAGATGGCGTAAGACATTTGCATAGTACTGTACATAAGCACTACAACAGTACTACATATAATATTGTATTGTAGCTTGTGACAAATGCGTTAACTCATATCTAGCACTGCAGCGCAAGGCAGCTTTACTTTAGCTTTTATTTAGCATCACTCCACTGGAGACATTAACATGTTAACATGTTATGTATATTCCTCAACAGCCATGAACATCAGCCAGGATACAGGACACCCAAACACACATATAAAAAGCAGTAACAGGATTTTCTTTGTACGGTACACACGCTCTCCGGTGCTCTCCTCCAATAAAGGATAATTATCTCTTCTTATCCTTTAATGTGGATTTTACTGCACTAACAGATCCATTACAGCTTTACAGCTGCTTTTTCACTGTACACTCTCCAGCCAATCTGCTCTTCTCTCAGCTTCACCTTAATGTCAAACAGTGATACAGAATAAGGGGTAAACACTAAAAGGCCTAATGGCAATAACATCTCCAAACACATGATATTTCAGCTTTACTGCCAAATGTTACTGGAAAATCTTAAAGCTAAACTAGTTAAATCTGTAGAAAGAAGAAAACGGCTTCCCGAATAAGAACCGTAACGAAACCAAACACATCAGATACTGACCGCAAGGACTATGCAGTCCTTTTAGATCGTAAGACTGGAAACAGCACTGATCAGCAATCAGGGAATTTAATTTTGATTTTGGCCAATGTGTAATTTGTGAGGCAGGTAAGTGCACTTGTGCCTATTTGAATGCCGTGGAATATCTTTTCAGTTATAGTGTACAGGCGTGGGTCAAATCCAAGATAGCAAAAAGGCAAAACAGAGCAAACATAACCAGAAGGTCAAAGACAAAAGGCAATGATGAGAAATCCAAAAAAAGAGTCTAATACACGAAAATGGCAACCAGCAAAACAGAAAACTAGGAAAGTCATATGACACAGGTGAAACAGACCAGTATTAGGATGAGGTTGAACAGTCACATTATCTCCAAAGGGATTCTGGGAAATTCTGGGAAAATTCTGGGTGTGCGCACTGTACCAAACACTCCACGACATAACCCAGGATAAGTGATTGCGTGAGAATCTACATAGCAGTGAAGCAAGAAATCCTACAGTGTGCAAATCTCACATATCGCTGTTGTTAAAACAAAATTTTCTATCTCCAAAATGATAACTTTACAGGAGAAGGAAAAAACATACTTTACTTTTAATGTAAGTCAGTGAAACCAGACTTTTTTGCAAGTCATTTTGGGTCATTTATTTTGGTCCACTCATCATGAAACTTACAATGTAAAGGGAAACAGGCATTTTCAAATTATGTCAAAAACTGAAAAACGACAAATGTATGTAGATACAAGGTTTTGTTCTGACAGCAATATGGATGAAATGAAGATATCAGTAATTGAGATGACAGAGTGGCCATTTCAACACAATCCACCACCAAGAGTTCAGTAAGTTGTCCAAATACGTGCACTCGTATTATGAGATCACGTCTAGCCCTGCGAGACCAGCGCTTCATTACAGTGCAGCTTTGCATTAATGGCACTGTGTGTTCTTGGAATTATTAAGCAAATCATATATTCTTACATTTCCATCCAAAATCTCAAGTCTATACTAAATTTGGAAACTGCGTGCGGATACACCGTCTGTATCTAATGCTGTTCATTTATAATGCTGTGTGTATATAACACTATGTGTGTATGCAGGTCAGGTTTTGGCCGCTGGGTAAACGGTGTTTAAGCGCAGCGCTGCTTTATTCCCTCTAAAGCTGTGTAATATTTTCTGTGCTAATTACGGTGAGCTACATTTCCATAATAACACATTAGGAATACGAATACGAGAATGTGCAGCAATTTTATCCCTCTATTCGCCCTTCTGTCTCTTACGTCTGCTCTCTCTTTCTCCATCACTGTGTCCTCTCTCTCTCTATTTTACGCTCCCTCCCTCCCTCTCTCTCTCTCTCTCTCTCTCTCTCTCTCTCTCTCTCTCTCTCTCTCCCCACCTCTACCTCACATGCTGATTCAGATAAACAAGGCCATCTGCACGTTGTGTAACAAGGGGAGAGGAAGAGAGGTAGAGGGGAGAGAAAAGACGAGGCAAAAGGAGAAGAGAATGGAAGAGGTAAGAGAGAAGCAGAAGAGAAGAGAATAGAAGTGAAGATAAAAGAAGATGCCAAAGGAGGAGAAGAGAAATCTAAATATATGTAGATTGCTTATTACTCAACACTAATGTCTGTTGATGTTGACATTGAGGAGTACTGGACGAGACAGAGAGAAAGGGAGAGAGAGAGAGAGTAAGTGAGAGAGAGAAAGATAGTGGGTGGAGCCTGGCATGAGAGCCCCGTCCTGACACGACTCTTTATAGCAACAGAGGAGTCTGTATGTGTACGGAAGTCCAGTTTGGCTCTCAGCTGAATCCTGTGGAGTGATGTCACACACAACGCTCTTCTACAACCATCTGTAACTCTCTCCCTCTGTAGCTCTCTTTCTCTATTGCTGTATCTCTCTCCCCCCCTCTCTCTCTCTATAGCTGTATCTTCTCTTTGTCTCTAGCTCTCTCTCTATTGCTATATCTCCTCTCCCTCTTGCTGTATCTCCCCTCTCTCTCTCTTTCTCTCTCTCTCTATTACTGTATCTTCCCTCTCTTTCTCTCTCTCATGCTGTATCTCAACTTTCTCCTCTTACTTTATCTATAGCTCCTCTTTCTCTCTCTCTCCCTCTATCTCTCTTTTTTCTCACTGTATCGCTCTGCTTTCTCTCTCACTGTATCTCAACTCTTTCTCCTCTCTCTATTGCTATATCTCCTCTCTCTCTCGCTGTATCTCCCCTCTCTCTCTTTCTCTCTCTATTACTGTATCTTCCCTCTCTTTCTCTCTCTCATGCTGTATCTCAACTCTTTCTCCTCTCACTTTATCTATAGCTCCTCTTTCTCTCTCTTTTTTCTCACTGTATTGCTCTGCTTTCTCTCTCTCTCACTGTATCTCAACTCTTTCTCCTCTTACTTTATCTATAGCTCCTCTTTCTCTCTCCCTCTCTCGCTGTATCTCAGCTCTCTCTCTCCTACTTTATCTATAGGTCCTGTTTCTCTCTCTCTCACTTGCTGTATCTCAACTCTCTCTCCTCTTACTTTATCTATAGCTCCTCTTTCTCTTGCTGTATCTCAACTCTTTCTCTCATCTTACTTTATCTATAGCTCCTGTTTCTCTCTCTCTCTCGCTGTATCTCAGCTCTCTCTCTCCTCTTACTTTATCTAATAGCCCCTGTTTCTCTCTCGCTGTATTTCAGCTCTCTCTCTCCTACTTTATCTATAGCTCCTGTTTCTCTCTCTCTCGCTGTATCTCAACTCTCTCTCTCCTCTCACTTTACCTATAGATCCTGTTTCTCTCTTTTTCTCTCACTGTATCTCAACTCTCTCTCCTCTTACTTTATCTAATAGCTTGTTTCTCTCTCTCTCTCGCTGTATCTCAGCTCTTTCTCTCC